TTTACAGCATCAGACTTTCATTTCACCACCAGATGCATCCACAGCTGAGTGTCCTTTCGGCTTTGGGCCAGTCACTTCACTCTTTCTGGAGCTACTAGTACTAGCCCTCTGCTCTTCCCCAGTAGCATATTGGACACCTTCCAACCTGAGGGGCTCATCTTCCAGCGTCATATCTTTTTTCCTTTTGGTACTTGGGGTTTTCATGGCAAAGATACTGGAGTGGGTTGCCATTTCCTTCTCCAGTGGATCACATTTTGTCAGAACTTTCTGCTATGACTTGTCTGCCTTGGGTGGCCTTGCACGGCATAGCTCATAGCTTCATTGAGCTACGCAAGCCCCTTCGCCATGACAAGGCACTAATCCATGAAGGGGGACATAAATTTACAATAGTTTAAAATAATTGTAGCTGGGTCAAATGATCACCATCCCAGGGGGCTTCAAACAAGCCAAGTAATAGGAGAAGCCAGATTTGCTTAATAACGAAGGCAAAATATATTGTAAAATTGGTGCGACTCATTTAATGAGCACATCTTTAGTGAAAGCAATTCCAGTCCCAGTTGGCTCATAAGTCAAGAACTACAAGTAGTTCTCGACTTACAACAGTTCATTTAGTGACCATTCAAAGTTACAATAGCACTGAAAACTGTGACCTATGACTGTTTTTCATAGTTACGATCTTTGCAGCATCCCCACATTTTGATCATGTGATCAGAATTCAGATGCTTGGCAACTGGTTCATATTTATGACCCTTGCTGTGTCAAAAGGTATTGTCAAGTTTCCGAAAGATGCCCTAATTAATTCATGATCACTTTTGTGACTGTCTGACAAGCAAAGTCAATGGGCAAGCCAAAGTCACTTAACAACTGGATTACTAACCTATCAACTGCAATGACTCACTTAACAACTGTGGCAAGAAAAGTTGTAAAATGGGGCAAAATTCACTTAACAAATGCCTCACTTAACAACATAAATTGTGGGTTCAATTGTGGTCATAAATTGAGGGCTACCTGTATCTGCATAGTGGGTTGCTACAGGAAAAATGAGGAAAATTTGTTGTAAAATCATTTACTATTACTTGAAAAGTAATTACTTGAAAAGTACAGTGATAAATTACCTGCCAGTTGCAGACTAATTCATATTAGATGACAATCAGTTTTATCTCTTCTTTCTGTCACCAGAATGGACAGTTAATGTTTATAGAAGCAAGTTAAAAATGTAAGACAAGATGGAAATAATGTTGAAGAGCAGTTTATCTGTCTATGGAATAGGGTCTAGTACCATGATGGCGAACCTATGGCACGCGGAGCCATATCTGTGGGCACGCGAGCGTTGCCCTAGCTCAGCTCCAGCGCACATGCGCATGCAGGCCAGCTGATTTTCGGGCCTTCTGGGCCCACCGGAAGTCAGGAAATGGGCCGTTTCCGGCCTCCGGAGGGCCTCCGGGGGGGGGGTGTTGGGGAAGGGTTTTTGCCCTTCCCAGGCTCCTAGAAAGGCTCTGGAGCCTGGGGAGGTGAAAAATGGGCTTTCCGGTCCCACTGTGCCATCACGTGCCAATAGCAGGGAGAGCGCGGGGGGGTCACATGCACGGTGGGGTGGGATGCACTGAATTATGGGTGTGGGCACATGCACGTGTGACACCTCTGCGCTCCCCCCGCTTTTGGCACGCGATGGCAAAAAGGTTAGCCATCACTGGTCTAGTATGTTCCCAAAAGGATTGGGGCTCAACTTTGGGGGTGCTCCTGGAGACATCATTGTTATTTTTTTTTTTTTTTATTTGATTTATATGCCGCCCTTCTCCGGAGACTCAGGGCGGCTTACAGTGCGTTAAGCAATAGCCTTCATACTTTTGTATATTTATACAAAGTCAGCTTATTGCCCCCACAAACTGGGTCCTCATTTAACCTACCTTAGAAAGGATGGAAGGCTGAGTCAACCTTGAGCCTTGGAGAGATTCGAACCAGCAGTAAATTGCAGGCAGCTGTGTTAATAACAGGTGCTTTAAACCACTGTAGTACCAAGGCTCTTGAGGCTCAAATGGTGTAAAGAACACATTTTCTCTACCTAGTCTGATAGTTCCCATTTGAAGTTTGTCTGGGTGGTAATATACTGATTTCAGCTTCAGTCAACTCCTGTTTTGATTATTGGAAAGATAGGCTAAGATTGAAAATGTTCAAATATTTAAATTATTCTAATATTAACCTACAGTGCTTAAATCAGTGCTTTGTTAGTATAAATTTAATTTATAAGCTCCATCTGTCATTGACTTGCTTTTAAACCTTTTTAATTACTTGAGGTGGAAAGTGTGAAGCTGTAACTCTAACCTTAATCCTAATGACTAACTACAATATATACAATACATTTGCTAGAAGCCCAGTCAACAGGTTTTTTTGGGGGGGGGGGGCATTTTTTTTTTTTAATTTGATTTATATGCCGCCCTTCTCCGGAGACTCAGGGCGGCTTACAATGCGTTAAGCAATAGCCTTCATACTTTTGTATATTTATACAAAGTCAGCTTATTGCCCCCACAAACTGGGTCCTCATTTAACCTACCTTAGAAAGGATGGAAGGCTGAGTCAACCTTGAGCCTGGTAAGATTCGAACCTGCGGTAATTGCAGGCAGCTGTGTTAATAACAGGGTGCATTAAACCACTGTACTACCAAGGCTGATTCATCTAAGTTTCTGCAAAAGAAGCTAGAAGACTAATCCATTTTGTCATACTCTGGCTGTTGAAAAGAATCTTCTCCTAACCTGAAGTCTTTCTAAAAAGATTGCTCAAATGCTTATGTAATTTTATATGTTATAACTATTCATAATGATGAAAACAAATGAAACCCCCCAAAATTCAAAAAATTTACAAATTTAGGCTAATTCTAATATCTTCCACATATTGCTCATGTATCTTAAAGTGGTTTTAATCACAATGCAGAAGCACATTAATAAATTCCCCTCCTGTTTAATGATAATAATTTATGATAGATAGCATTATATGGCTGTTAATTATGTACTCTCCAATTAAAATGTTTAAGAATCAAGAGGAATTTAATGCTTTTTGATTGAGATTTTTCTCTCTTCTTATTCATCAGAACAAAATATTTTTAGTGCTGATATTTATTTGTCTGGTGCATAGAATAATATATTTTAGTAAGTATTTCAAGTGTTTCTCTATTTAGCCAAATGAAGTATACAGGGGAAGCTCTATTTTCTTCTTTAGATTATTGATGTACATTATTATATTCATATTGATATATATCTATTCCATTTGTGCGTGTGTCTCCGCTACATTACATTTCACAATACTATATTCAAATCTATTCTACAAGATAAGGCAGGTTTTATACTTTAATTTTTGGATTCAACTTTAAACTTTGGACAACTAGTATATCTGCTGCAAAAGTATAATGATAATATTTGGAAAATGAGACCTGACTTTTCTTTATTGAAAATCACAATAGCATGAAGCAAATAAATTTTCTTAGTTCTTACAATGTAAGCTTTCCTAAATTTTATGAGGTTAACTTACTGGGAAATAATGTGAGTTGTAGCCCCAAAATAATATATTTTGAGAACTCTAAATTGATGAAGCCTGGTTTGCATTCATCTATGCAGGGGTGTTAAACTCAAGGCCCGCAGGCTGGATCTGGCCCACAGGGTGCTTAGATATGGCCTGCGGGGCTGCCGTGGAAACAGTGAAGGGCCAGCCTGTGGTGTCTCTGCCAGTAAAAATGGGGCTTCCCCCCCCCGGGCTCTGTTTTCACTGGCAAAGGGCTGCAGGAAGCCATCGTGGATGAAAATGGGGGCCGGGGGAGCTGTGTGTGGTCCCCCAAGACTCCTTTTTCACTGGCAGAGGGTTAGCAAAACAAACTAAAAGCAAAACAAAAGAAAAGGAGAAATGTTTCCTCTTTTGCATTTGAGCACCCAAGAAGGGACAAGAAAGGAGAAAGGGAAAGAGGAAAGACAAACAAAAAGGAAAGATGGGAAGAGAGCAAGGAAGGAAAAAGAAGGAAAGGAGAAGAAAGAAAAGAGAATGAAGAGGGAAGGAGAAAGAAGAAAAGGAAAAAAGGAAGGAAGGAAGGAAGGAAGGAAGGAAGGAAGGAAGGAAGGAAGGAAGGAAGGAAGGAAGGAAGGAGATTATAATGAGAGGAAGGGAGGGTCTGAGGGAAGTCTTGCCTTAGCACTTGGCCACTACAGGTGCTCTCTGACACAAGTGATGTCGAGCTGGCCACAGCCACCCTGGCCATGCCCACTCTGGCCCCCTGAGGTCAAACACAACCCTGATGCAGCCCTCAATGAAATCGAGTTTGACACCCCAATCTATGCTTTCTATTTCTGAAAGCTGGGTTCACAATTCTTCTACTGACAGTTTCCAAAATGTAATATTTGTGTTCTCTTGTCTTTCAATACATTTATCCATTTGTATACTGTTGTTCAGAAAATCACAATAAATATTTTCTTAAATGGCTTCTCTGATTACATGAATATCTAGCAATCATAAAATCAGTATCTGCTCACATGTAACAAAATCATTATCTTAAAATGATATTTGTATTATAACAGCTGGAGATAATAATATATTCCCCAAAAGCAAGCACTTTGATTAGCCAGCTATGTAGATTATTGGAATTAAAATATGGTAATAATTAAAGAAGTGAAATTTGAGCAAGATTGCTTGGTAAATCTGCCAAAATGTAATTTATGTGATTTCTGTTAAGTCAAAAAATCAAAATATGTCATGTTGGGAGTACTTACAGATCAATTTATATTGGATTTGATTTTAAGGCATGAAGAGCATATGCTCCAGTACAGGAAATCTGCAACATATAAATGTCAGCAGTTCAAAATGTACAATATTGAAAAGTTCTCCCCAATTAAGCTGAATCTGATGTTTCTTAATTTATTAACATCACCTTTTCCAATATATAGATTATATATGCTTAATTTATTGTAACATAAAAAAGTAACTAGATATGACTTTAAATCATTTTGTTTTGTTTTAACCAGCCACTTGTATCTAGAAGTCCTACAAGCAGTATGGCAACACCATCCAGTACTGTCAGCACACCTACTAAAAGAGACAGCTCAGCCCTCCAGGACCTCTACATACCACCACCTCCAGCGGAGCCTTATATTCCCAGGTGAATCATCACAATTGATCATACTCTTAATTTTACTCAGGGTTATAAGAATGTGCAGTGATCCATGTATAGGGAGAAAAGGACGTGAAACCATCATTACTATATTACAACCATAACAGTACTGTATAAGTAAAAGCCTCCTGCCCACATCCAATAATCTTTCTTGGTGACCTTAACTTACCACTTATTAATTGAATGAATGAATGTACAACTGAACCTATACACACAACACTGTCCATAAATTCAATAATAGTCCATAAATTCAATTTATGGACTACAAATAAAAGAACCATTCTCCAACAGCGACCACAGCATGATTGACTTTTGTCTCAACCTACACCCTCTCAAAAATAATCATAATGATGGGATTCCTGGTTAACTTTAAAAAAGCCAACTATGATCTCATAGACAATGAACTCTCATGTCTTGATTAGCAAAATCTATTCTCTGGCTGTAATATTGCTGACGACCATTACAACATTTTCTTGCGCAAAGTCAAAAGAATCATTAAACTTTACATACCACTAATACCCCACAAAACCAGAAAAAATAAACTACCAATGACAATAAGGAAATTACAATCCAGAAAAAAATCTCTTTGGCGAGAAAACAAAACAAACTATGTAGCTAACTTCAAAAACTACTACAAAAACTTATGCCAACTAATAAAGACTGAATGCATCGATTATCACATCAAGCAAGAAGAAAACCTTCTACGCACAAAATCCACCCGTGCCTTCTATCATTTTGTAAACAACAAACTTAAAGACTCAAGATCTATCCCACCCCTAAAAGGACCAAACAATGAAGATTGTATTGATGAAACCGTTAAAGCCAATCTCTTTAACACATTCTTCGGCTCAGTCTTTGTAAACAGCAACAACACATACCCAATATTTCCCAGTCATACTACAGACAATTACAACGATTACGATGATCTTATACATATTGATTTTACAGAAGACAATGTTGAAAAGGCACTACGCAATCTAAAACCTTCTCTATCTATTGGACCTGATGGACTATGTGCATACTTCTTAAAAAAGCTTTCCACTGCAATTGCAGAATCTCTAAGCGTAATTTTTGAAAAAAATTTCAGTACCAGTACCTTGCCCTACCAATGGTCACAAGCCAGGGTCATCCCTATCTTCAAAAAGGGAGACCCTAGCCTAGTTGAAAATTACAGACCAATCTCTTTATGTTGCGTCACCTGCAAAGTCATGGAATCAATCGTTAACCAATCTATTACCCTCCACTAGAGACAAACAACTTACTTTCTAACAAGCAATTTGGTTTCAGAAAAAAATTATCCTGTAATCTACAACTACTACATTGCAAAACATATGGACTACACATCTCGACTAGGGCAAAGCAATAGATGCAGTTTACATAGACTTCTGTAAAGCTTTTGATTCAGTGGTACACGACAAATTACTTCTAAAACTAAAATCCTATGGCATTTCTGGACTCCAACATAAATGGATAGCTGCCTTCCTGTCAAACAGACAACAAGTGGTCAAAATAGGAAGTGCTCTATCAAATCCTGTACATCAGTGGTTCTCAACCTTCCTAATGCCGTGACCCTTTACTACAGTTCCTCATGTTGGGGTGACCCCCAACCAGGGGTGGGTTCTAAATTTTTTTACTACCAGTTCTGTGGGCGTGGCTTATTTTGTGGGCCTGGCTTGGAGGTCATGTGACTAGATGGGCGTGGCTAGCTGGTCATGTGACCGGGTGGCCATGGCTATGTGTATAGGGACTACTCAGAGGGCTGAAAAAAGTCATTTCTGACAGGTCCTCACACTTTTGACTGGTCCTCACACTTATGACCATCCTCACATTTATGCCCGTGCAGCATTCTTAACAACCATGTCACTCATTTCACAACTGCTTCTTTTCACCATGGTGATAAGATAGGGCAAAAAACGTAAAATGTGAGGATAGTCGTAAATTCGAGGACTGGTCAAAAGTGTGAGGACCAGTCAAAAATAACTTTTTCAGCCCTCTGAGTAGTCCATATGCACAAAAGGACTACCCAGAGGGCTGAAAAAAGTGATTTCTGACAGGTCCTCCCACTTTTGACAGGTCTTCGCACTTATGACTGGTCTTCATTTATGCCCATTGTAGCATTCTTAACAACCATGTCACTCATTTCACATCTGTTTCTCTTCACCATGGTGACAAGATAGGGCAAAAACGTAAAATGTGAGGACAGTCGTAAGTTCAAGGACTGGTCAAAAGTGCGAGGACCAGTCAGAAATAACTTTTTCAGCCCTCTGAGTAGTCCATATGCATAAAAGGATACAGCAATAGAGAGGGATGAAGGAAGGGAAGGGAAATTAGAGTAGGAGTGAGGGTAAGAGAGGGAGGAAGAGAGGAGGAGAAGGAGAAAGGAAGAGGAAGTAGGGAGGAGAAGAAGAGGGGGAGGAGAGAAAGTAAGAAGGAAAGAAAAGAGAGAGGTGGTAGGTTTGAGGAGAAAGATTGCTGTACAATAAAAAAGATGAAAGGGAAGAAAGCCAACCCCAAACAAATATAAAGATATTAAGATAAAGAATGAATTGTTAAACTTTAAAGAATAAAAGAGAACAAATATAAATAAATAACAGTAATTAGAAACACACGTACAAACATACAATGTATTTTCTTTGAACAGAGTTCACAAATTTAAACAGTGTTTAGTCATTTCAATTCAATTTACAATTTCTATATTTCCTTTTTGCCATATTTATTCCTCATCTATTTTTGTAAAAAAACAATATTACCCTTCATCCTCATCTCTAATCTTAATCAAATTCAATTTTTCCCTTCTATTCTATATTATACCCCTTCCCATTGTCATCTATTTTTATATCCATCCTCACATTGGTTAATTATGTAATATTACAGTTTAATATAAATTCAATATTTTAATATAAATCAATTAGTTATATAACTACCTTTTTTGTATATTAATCAATATGAACATGAATATTCCAATTATTTCCATGCAATCCAATTTCTTACAAATCAATTAATTATATTTACCAATAATAATAGACCAAATATTTCCCCCATATATTCCTCCAAACCACAACTTAACCATTTCTGCTTTCAGCACAATATATAATTAATAGTATCTCAATTATTATAATTCCCTAGTTAAAGAGAGCTTTTTTTCTTTTGTGTTTTAAAATCTTGAACTCTCCTCTTTTTCCCTAAATTTCCCATTGTTTGCACCTACCTTTTTTGGTGAGGAAAAAGAAAAGAAATCTGCCTGCCTAATTTTCCAATTGCAGCAACAGCAAAGCCTGCTTTACTTTCAGTTTCGTTTTTCAGCATAGCTAGGGGGAAAAAATCTCTCCAGCAAGCAGCAGAGCCATGAGCAAAACAGCTGAGAGCAAATCAGCTGAGAGTCGGGAGCCGATCTAATCAAGGGCTAATTAGCCTATGCTGAAGCTCCGTGGGCCAATAAAATTACAAAAAAACACCGAACCATTTGTTAAATTGCTGGCTCGCCCGCCCCTTGCCCACCACTATTTATTGGCAATAAATAGTGGTGCGGAGGGGCGGGGCGAGCCAGCAATTTAACAAAGCCCCGCGGCAAGAATTTTTTTTTTTTACATTTTTTATTGTATTTTTATTGTTAAAGAATAACAGAAAAAAGAAGAAAAAACAATACAAAAATCAATAGTAAAGAAAAAAAAATTCCCCCCCATCGTGCTATACAAATGGAAAGGAAGTTTTAGGAAATTAAAGTCTTCAATTCTTCCAGAAATCTCTTTGCTAAGGTACTGGCGCCGATTCATCCAATCTCCCAAGTGCAGAATCCACAAATGGTTGCCAAGTGTTCCAAAAAACATTCTCTTTGTATATACCACTTCTAATTTTAATATCACAAGTCAATTTATCATTTAATGCAAATTTCCATGTTTCATTATACCATTCTTCTAATTTTAAGTCAACATTTAATTTCCAATATCTAGCAATTATAATTCTCCCCGTTATAACCAAAATCCTCACCAATTCTCTTCAATTGTTAATGTTGTTTCATTCAATAATAATAATAATATGGTTTCCGATTTCAGTTTGACCCTCTTCTTAATCATTTCAAATATTTCATTTTCTATCCTAGACCAAAAAAGTTCAACCCCATTACATTTACACCACATATGAACATATGTCCCAAGTTCCACTATACATCTCCAACACATTTTATCCACTTTATTATTTGAAAAAGTCTTATTGGGGTCAAATACCACTTCCAAATAACTTTATAATTATGTTCTTTAATCCTTATTGATAATGTCCTCATTTTTCTGCTAACCCAGTTCATATTCCAATTTTGATTAGAAATTTCGAATAATAAAAGATGAAATTGGGCCAAAGGGATTAGTTAGCAAAATTTATAAAATTATTAACTTTGATAATAATTCACAAATGGTAATGAAAGAGAATTGGGTAAAAGAACTGGGTATTGAAATTCCCGCGGCAAGAATTTAAACAGTTTTTTTCAACCACTATTCAACCACCAACAATGCAACTATCCTTCAAAAAGACCTTGACTATGTATCAGATTGGTCTAACAAATGGCAACTTCAAATCTCAATCAACAAATGCTCTGTCTTGCACATTGGCAAAAAAATAAATAAAATCAAAACATAAAATACAAATTAGATGGACATGACCTTGTAGATGACCCTCCTTCTGTCAAGGACCTTGGAGTACTCATTTCTAAAAATCTAAGTGCCCGAGCCCACTGTAACAACATTCCAAAAAGGCATTAAGAGTTGTTAACCTAATCTTGCATAGCTTCTTCTCTGGTAATGTTGTACTACTAACTAGAGCATACAAAACATTTGCTAGACCAATTCTTAAATACAGCTCATCTGTGTGGAACCTGCACTGCATATCGGACATAAATACAATCGAGAGAGTCCAGAGATATTTTACGAGAAGAGTCCTCCATTCCTCTAACCGCAATAAAATACCTTATGCCACCTATTAAATTGTCACAATATATG